CAAAACGAGATCCCTTCCGTCCGAAGGAGGATGATGAAGAGATTTTGGAGCCTGAAGTTCCTTATCTAAGTGCGATAAGCGCTTTATTGTACTTAGCTCAATGCACTAGACCCGACATCTCCTTCGCTGTTAATCTTTTGGCAAGATACAACAATGCACCAACACGCAGACATTGGACTGGCGTGAAAGACATCTTCCGTTACCTTAAGGGTACTACGGATTTGGGCTTATTCTATCCCTACGAATCCTTGAGTGATGCCGCACCTTATGCTCATCGGGTTGATTCTCGCCTTGTTGGTTATGCCGACGCTGGATACTTATCTGATCCGCACAAGGCGCGTTCTCAAACGGGTTATGTCTTTACCGTTGGAGGCACCGCAATATCTTGGAGGTCAACTAAACAGACCTTAGTTGCCACTTCGTCTAACCATGCTGAAATTCTCGCCTTACATGAAGCAACTCGGGAATGCTTTTGGTTGAGAGCAGTAATGGGCCATATTCGAAGCTCATGTGATCTTCATCCTGCCGTTAATGCCCCGACGATGATTTTTGAAGACAACGCAGCTGGCATCGAACAGCTCAAGAAGGGTTACATCAAATGAGATAACACCAAGCATATTGCGCCGAAGTTCTTCTTTACACATCAACAACAAGAGCATCAGAAGATTGAAGTCACGCAAATCCGATCACAAGACAATCTGGCCGACCTCTTCACCAAATCACTACCGAAGGCGACGTTTCAGAAGCTTGTTCATGGAATTGGTATGCGTAAACTTTCTGAGTTGTAACTTTGCTATTTCTCTTTGGAATTATGTCAAACTCAGGGGGAGTATCTTCTGGATACTTGCTTGATCTTAATGTACTCTTTTTCCCTACGATTATGAGCATTTTTCCCACTGGGTTTTTGCTACCTAACTAGGTTTTAACGAGGCACCCACCTTGGGCTGGTCATATCCCTGATGACATCCTGTAGACGTTTCTTTTGACTTTGCATTTCTCACACATTTTTCCTTAGACTATGGATTTTGTCCCTACTTGGGTTTTTGCCATAGCCTTAGGGTTTTTTTTAGTGAGACTTACTACTTATACAAGTTCCTACCTTATTGAGAATAAGCGTTGTTCCTTGGAATCTGTGCTGACGAGTCGACTTCCTCAACTTCTACATGATGCTGAATCTACCTTAAGTATTTGCACACTCAAGGGGGAGTGTTGTAAATATTCCTAGAATAAGTATGATTGTGTAAATCCTAGATTAGATTTGATTCTAGTTATCCTTTCCTATTACAACTTGTATTACTGGGAGGAGAAGGAATATCTTCTCTCCCTTTACTACTATAAATAAAGGCACAATGTAGGAGGGATAACAACACACACATTCCCCTACAATTCTACAAACACACATCTCTCTTCTCTCTCCCACTGCCGCCGGCCCTAGTCTCTCTGTCAAATAAAATAGACCACAACACTATAAATAGATATAATCTAAAACGTATTATGAATAGACATAATTTACGAATCTTCGAATATTCGCACAGAGAATCCTGTTGGATGTAATCTTGTGTAGTTTGGCAGAAGATTGCATAAACAAATACATTATTTTATATTGTCTTATCCGCGTCAAAATAAGCAGGGGATAGGTCCCAAAGCATGAATAAACAAATACATTATTTTATACATACTTTAGCAAAGCTTGTCGTATACTGAACCAATTTTCCTCGAAAGCTGTCCAATTTTCAACCTGGGGCCACAAAAACGAACAGAAGAAAATGAGTTTTAACAAAATATTTCCCTGTTCAATTTTAACAAAAAATTATATTTTTACTTTTAACTGTTACTATTTATTATACTTTTAAAAAAAACTTTTCGTTAAAAGAGAAGTTTTTTTTAAACTTTTCGTTAATTTTTATCAGAAGAAAAGCCTCTTAAAAAAAAAAGGTCATTTGCTGCTTTTGTATGTCCGAAAAAATAAAAGGTTGATTGAGGGACAACATCACGTGAATGGAGCAGAAGCCAGCCCATTCCACTCATATTCATTACGATGTATGTGTCGGTTATCGAATGACTGATACAAAATACTCGTCCAATTTCAAATTCCAAAATTCTCAAGTGGTACAAAACCAACAAATCAAATCCAAATTCAAAATCTCTCATATGTTACAAAACCACAGAATTCAAATTTAAATAAATCCATTTTATGAACTATGCATGTTTGATTCCGCCAAGGATAAACATGCAATTTAAAGATTTAATCTAGATGCAACCGTAGAATGATAAAATCCCAAAAATCTAATCTCTCGTTCGTTCAACCAAATTCATTCAAACAAATTCAGAACGTTCAAATAAACCAAACACAAAATCTTTCTTTTTAGTGGATCATTCACTCATTGAAAATCTCAAATTCATTCTAAAAAAACTACGAGCAGCTTGATCTCTCAAAATAGGTACGTAGGCAATTTAGGCATTTGTCTAAATGCAGCCACAAAATCAAACAAAAACTCAAATCTCCAAGTTACTATTTATTCATATTGGAATCAAAGGATTTTTCTTTTTTAACGAATGATTGTAATTAATAGACACATAATCTAGAATGAATAGAACTTAAACCAGTAAAACCCTCCTCGAAAGATGAACGAGGGTAAAATTGTGTCAAACGAACTATTTATTATATTTCTTGTACAATTTTTGCTCAACACGTCAATTCCTCAATTAGCTGTTATATTTTGTTTATCTCATGTATAAGAGGTCTATGAATACTAAAATAAATGACATTGCAAATTTTTTTTATCACTATTTTTATAATGTTCAGCGCTTGAGCACTCATCAATCCAAAAAAGTTTGTACGATAAGCTCATACAAAGTTCATCTTTTCATTAATGTGAGATTTATTTTCAACAGTTTTATTCAAAATCGTCAAAATGTTGTTTTATCTCGAAATTTGTTGATCAAAATGCTTGAGCACAGCCATAAACAAAATGCTTTTCCTAAAGATTCTCTCATCAAAATTACATATAGGTCAAGGGGCAGACTGATATCTCTAATCTGGGTTCTATAAAGAGTCTATGATCCAATTCGATTTTATCTGATTCTTGATGATGATGGGGTAGATCGGGAAGTTCCTTATTTTGAGTATGGTCCTACCTGCCATTTGTAAGATATTGATTAGTTATGAGAGCTGATTTTGAGCACGTTTTCAACCTCTCCATCTAAAATTTTAATGAATTTCTTCTATTTATTATGATATACTTCATCATTTACCATAATGCAATGATTACCGCTTCTACACGTTTGCACCACCACTTTGTTATGGTTATAATCATCATTTCAAATAATAAAAATTTAAAAATAAAAGTAACATAATATTTAACAAAATTGTGACGGAGTGAACCACATTGATTTGCGATATCATTTTTCAAAGATTATATTGATCGATTTTCAATTTTAAAAATCATTTTGATAACATAGATGAATTTCAAAACCTATTTGTGATAAAAATCCAAACTATTGTTTGCATGTAATTTTAAATATATTCGTTTATCGTATATTGTGTAATAAAAAATTATATTAAATATTTTTAATTAAAATTAAATACAAACAATATTTAACAAAAATTAATCATATAATGTACCATAAATAAACACAATTTACGAATTTCTAAGATCTCCACCAAAAAAAATCCAAAGAGAACCCTGTTGGCATAATGAGTTCACCTGCTTTTGCGTTATTCAACCAATTCTGTTCATACTGCTTTTGCGTTATTCAACCAAATTCATAATGCTTTTGCTTTTGTCCAAGCGCATTATGAGTTCACTTGCTTTTTGCTCTATTCAACCAATTCATAGTGCTTTTGCTTTTGTCCCAAGTGCATTTTGAGTTCACCTGCGTTTTTGCTTTAGGATTTAACTTGGCTGGAATCAGCAGTCACTCCTAACAATTACGGTTGAATACGTATTCAAGTTGTGACACGTGTTCAACTGTGATTGGCCTTCTGCAGGAATGACCGTTGATTCTTCAGCAGTCAAGTCTTGTTCTTTGCTTTATTCAACCCATTCACACTGCTTTTGCTTTAGTCCCAACACACAACACTGTAGCTATACATATATACATATGGATCGTTAAAAAAAGTTATGTAATGAACACTTTGGCCATTTTCAACCGAAAGAGAATCTGAGGGCTCGTTTTAGTCCTATAGTCATCCAAGAAATTAATATTTTAATGAATAATATCAGGCCATATTTCTTACCATCTCCAACCGAATAGGTCAAAAGATCATAGGCCAAACATAGCCCTACAAAAAAAAAAACCATCTCCAACCGAGAGACCAAAGGGTCATAGGCCAAACATAATTTATTATTTTAATTATTAATATGATTACTTAAATTAAACTACCTCAATAAATTTTCAAGATGTAATCTCAATATATATTTTTTTTAATTTGTAAAAAAAAAAAATATATCAAATGTAACGGCTAGCTGACGTCAGCTAGTAGCCGTTGGGATTCAAAAACCTAAACTGGCCCGGGCTGCCGGTTTGGTACAGCCTGTTAGCCTGTTTCTACTTTTTTTGCCCGGTAGGGCCTACGAGCCCTTTGGCTTAGCCTTCGGTTGAAGATGGTTTTCATGTCATTTCTGGCTATTCTCGACCCTATGGCCGGATCGGTTAGAGATAGCCTAAGTAGTCCTTAATTTGATATATATTAGGACTCAGAACACATATTTCTATCACATATTTTGACACGTATTTTGTAAGGTTTACTTTGTAATGTATTTCAACCATCCGAATTGGTAGAGTAAAAATTGAAAATTTAGTTATATGGAGAATTAGTCGGTTCGGTATTATTGTCAATAGAAATGACATATAATCTTCTATGCGTACAGTCATATACTAAACTGAGTAATACTAATTCAAACATGTTTATGTTAGCCTTATATGTATAATTAAAACACAAAAAAAACGCGTGGCCAAATTGGATAAATGATCCATGTGGTCATAAGGTATTCAGAAGATATCCTCTGTGCTAAAAAAAAACTCGAATTTAAACTCCTGTAGTGTATTCGGTTAACAAATTTAGTTCAAAAATGATTTTTCCGTTAACTATCTGTTAAATTCAAACAGAGGAAGAAGAAACTAGAAATATCCAGTTACCAACCAACAATCTCAATCCTGAAATTGCAGAAAAATGGCGGAGGAGGAGGAGTCGAAGAAGAGAAGGGTGGTGGTTGAATCCCTCGAATGGCTGACGGAGTCCTCAATTATGTCGAGGAAGCACCGCGCCATCGCCGGCATTGGAGCCTCTTCAATCATGGAGCTCAAGGCCCAACTTTATCAATCCCAAAAAGAATCCAAGCAGTCCAAAGAACTCGCCGGCTCCGACATCGAGTTCCATCGCGCCAAGAAGAGAATCACTGCACACGACGCTTTCTCCGCCAAGAACTCCGGCATTGACGCCCGGGCCCACAAGTACGTCTTTTTCTTTCTTTTTTCCCAATTTTTTTTTCTGGGTTTAATTACAATTTACTTAATTATAATCTGTTTTGTTGGGTTAGTGTAATTTATGGGTTAGGGTTTCATTTGGTAATTTAGGGTTCCTGTTGTTATCTGATTATAAGTTTAGGGTTTTTGGGTTCTTTTTAGTGAGAAGATGAGATTTTTGAGCTCTCTGTTTTGGAAGTTTCAAACTTCTGTTCAATTACCTCTAGGCTTTAATTTGGGTTTCTGCTGAAATCAAACCAATTATGTTTTTTTGCTGGTTTAAATTCATGGACAAGCTTGAGCTGAAAGCAGTTCATGATGGATCGGCTAGCTATGCATCGTTGGAAAGGAAAGCTGCATTGTACGATAAGCTAGCAAGGGGAGCTTTTTCCGACCGGTCCGCGCGAGCGAACTGCTTAGGAGCTTGATCGAAATCGGCTCGGCGGCGGGTTCAAGACTTAAGGGGGCGATCGGGGAAACAACAGGTATTCCAATGGTGACGAGTCGACGGATTCGAAGTGGGGTCAGAGGAAGGAAGGTGGTTTGGGAAGGAATCGAATCGAGATGAACCTTCGAGGGCAGATGAGGTTGATGATTGGGGCGCCGCGAAGAAATCGATGCTGGGAAATTCCTTTGAGATGAGGGAGCGAGGAGGTAGTTTTTTGGGTGGGTCACAGTCGAAGGTTGATGAATCCGACAGCCGGGTGTCGAATAAGAGTGCACATGTCAAAGTACAATTTTACCCATGTATTAACATATAGTTAACGGAAAAAATTACTTTTGAACTAAATTTGCTAACGGAGAACATCACAAGGGTTTAAATCCGAGTTTTTTAAGCATATGGGCTATCTTCCAAATACCTTATGACCACATGGATCATTTATCCAATTTGGCCAAACTGAGTAATACTAATTCAAACATGTTTATGTTAGCCTTATATGTATAATTAAAACACAAACGAATGAGTGGTCAACCTGATTTTTGAGGCAACTATGGAAGTCGGACAAGAAAGAATGGAGGCTGCAGCAACACCAAGATCTTCTACAAACACCTAGTCGGATACAATTTCTTTATAGGAAGTATTATGTTATGTGTATCTAGTGTTTGCAGGGACCTTAGTATTTACACAAGCTAAAGGCTAGGGTTTTTGTCCATAAAGGAAACCAAATCCCACTTTCTTAACTACCAAGAAAAGTATCATAATCACTAATGAGTCAATATTGTATTATACATTAGACCCTATTCTTAGTATAATTTGGCAATTATTTTGGTAGAATTTTGATATTTTACCTTATATTTTCAATATAGGACATTCGACTTCTTCTAGAGCAAAACATGATCAAACAGACGAATTTTGGAGTGATTCAAATTGGAGGATGTTCGTGTGTTCCTTAGCTTGTTCGTACCAAAATTTTGAATTTTTCTACCAAGTGGTTATTTTCTGGTGATGGAATAAAGAAGCATTGCGCGATGCTGAAAAATGACTTTTTGGGGCTTAAATTGCGTTTTTGGAGCCCAAGATGATCTCAAATGGGTTTGTGGCCTTCTGGAGAAGTGTTCAGAATGACTCAAACTTTAGATCCAGCTATTTTGGGCCAGTTTTGGAGCTGATTTGGGTCCAAAACGTGGCTTGAAGGATTTTGGGCGAATTTACCAAGTTACTTTAGGATTACGTTTCCTAATTTATTTCAATTTCTCATGTTTCCTAGTTTTTAGAAGACCTTTTCTAGTAAGGATTTTATTTTTTATTAGCATAAATAAGGCTATTTAGCCATTAGAGGGGAGAACGGAGGCATCAATTTGGAGAACTTAGCTAGGCTTTGACGTTTTGTATTTCAAGGTGTTTTCTATCCTTTTTCTATTTCAATAAAATTCATTTTGTTTTATGGTTGTTCGTAACTAATTTCCGTTTGTTAGGGCGCTGCCTTGAGCCTTAGCATGAATATGTAGTCTTTATTTGATTGCTTATGATATTATGCATGCATACTTTGAATTATTAATCACTATGTTTAAACTGTCTTTATATCTTAATGCTTAGCAACCATTAGGATGTTTAGATAAGTAATCGGATGCAATTTGGTCGGAATGCCACCGAAGGATTGAGTATTGCTTCTTATGATTGATAGTTGTAAGTTCACTTAAGGCGAATGCCACGTCTTAGGAGTTGCATGGTTTTTCAAAGGATTTTTACAAAGTGTAATGAGTCATGCATGTTTATATTTGATCTGAATGCCATAGACGAATTGCATGTTTGATATACGTTATAGCTTGAATGCCACAAGTAGAATATGCATAAGGAAAACCTAACATTCAAAGTTGCATGTGTAATTCATATGTAATTGGTAAATTTACATATTATTGTTAAGGGGACGGCGGAACCTTAGGCTTTTACAATTTGGTTTTCAAAACGTTTTCCTTTGTTTTCTTTACTTTGCTAATTTCTTTAATCATTTTAATTAAATTCGTTTTTATTATTTTTAAATTTAAAACCAACTTTTTCCAATCTTTGTTTTCAAATAATTAATTAAGATTTGGTATTTACATAAATTATTCATTCAATTTTTGTGGAAACGACATTGCTTGAGCCGTTTATACTATAACTACCTTATTCTCTTGCAAGTATTCTTTAGTGTGAAGAGTTATGATAACAAGTTGGAAGACGATGAAATTACAAAGCCACCTGCCAGTGACTCCTGCCAAAGGAAGGAAACAGCCCCTGATGACCTTGATATTTCTCTAGAATCTATTCCTACCCAAGTCATTAGCCACGCATACACTATCCCGAGACTCCACTGAGCTGCATGAATGCATTGAAACTAACATGTTCGAAGGGGCTAGTCATACAAAGATGGAATCTAATCCACCACCTGACCAACACTTGACCAATCTGACATATTTGGATATAGGGCAAATGATTACTGATACAGTTTTTGTTGCTAAATTAGACATTCCAACAGCACAGCCTATCAAATTTAAAGCAAATCAGGGCAAGTCCTAGAAGCAGACTTAGATATACAACGAGAAGAAGAAAACATTTTGTGGTAGCCAAATTCCTAGTAGAGAAATTCGGCCATTGCAAAAATTGTGGGCCTTAAATACAAGGTTTATGTAACGCCCTGACCCGAAAATTTTATTTCGGAAAATAAACATTTGGTGGTAGGCTAAAAATGTCATAGTTACCCTTTGCGCTAATAACCTTTCTAACAATTCTCAAGTGACGATTTTCCACTAAAACTTAATCTCGTTTATTTTATGGCTGCATCTAACCTTCTCGTTAGACTGCCTACGTATCCTGTGAAGGGATCAAGCCAATCGTAGTTCACACTCCATTCTAAATCATTCAAGTGACTATCAATCACGAAACTAGGACCAAACAAATAAATCACACCAGATACATATCATACCAATCCGAAAAATCAACCCACATTTCACAAATGTTTCCAATCCACAGTAATAACTATAGATCGATGGCTAAAAATAAAAAATAACAATTCAATAGAAATCACATTTAATAAACAAGTATAACTCAATATGGTGTCACAAAACATAAATCGAGACACATGTCATCATGATGAGCCCACTAAGCTCCATGAAATCCCAACAACACTCTAGGATAAATGACACACCAGAATCATTCGACCTAGTTGACTAAAAAGTCAACCATCAATCAAGATCGACGATAGGGTTCACAACCCTAGAAATCTAAACCGGAGGATCTGCCTATCAGATTTATGATCTGTAACTTCTCAACATCCACATTATACTTCTAGAACAACCTACTAAAATTTCATTACGATCCAACGGCTGGATCTCCGCCAAATCACAATTTCAAGTGGCGGTCAATGTTTGATTTTACAAACTTAGAAATCCAATTCGGGAAGATTCGTGCTTCGGACTCCCGATCCGTAAATTTCTAATGTCCTCAAATATTTCATTCTATAACGCATTAAAGTTTGGTGACGATCCAACGGTCGGATCGTCAATTCATATAATGTCCAAGTGGCGGTCTTTATCAAAACTATAATCATACGATGAGATTTCGTCAATTGAACATCACATATGGATTCAGGGTAACCAAATTAGTCTAGGAAGGGATGGGGTCTCGGCCCACCACTGCTTGGCCTCAGCATGAATATGTAGTCTTTATTTGATTGCTTATGATATTATGCATGCATACTTTGAATTATTAATCACTGTGTTTAAACTGTCTCTATATCTTAATGCTTAGCAACCATTAGGATGTTTAGATAAGTAATCGGATGCAATTTGGTTGAAATGCCACCGAAGGATTGAGTATTGTTTCTTATGATTGACAGTTGTAAGTTCACTTAAGGCGAATGTCACGTCTTAGGGGTTGCATGGTTTTTCAAAAGGTTTTCACAAAGCGTAATAAGTCATGCATGTTTATATTTGATTTGAATGTCACAGACGGATTATATGTTTGATGTACGTTATAGCTTGAATGCCACAAGTAGAATATGCATAAGGAAAACCTAACCTTCAAAGTTGCATGTGTAATTCATAAGTAATTGGTAAATCTACATAGGATTGTTAAGGGGACGGCGGAACCCTAGGCTTTTACAATTTGGTTTTCAAAATGTTTTCCTTTGTTTTCTTTACTTTGCTAATTTCTTTAATCATTTTAATTAAATTCGTTTTTTATTATTTTTAAATTTAAAATCAACTTTTTCCAATCTTTTCAAATAATTAATTAAGATTTGGTATTTACATAAATTATTCATTCAATCCATGTGGAAACGATCTTGCTTGAGTCGTTTATACTACAACTACTTTATTCTCTTGTAAGTATTTTTTAGTATTTTTATCCCTACTTTTGAATTAAAATTAATTCAACTTCTGTGAGCAAGATGACACTAATATATGCACCATATCAGTTACTTTCATGGTGATTTCCATTATTTGTGAGCAGATGGAAACCATCATATGGATCAAATTAATTGGACTTTAAAACATTTGTGGAAAGGAAAAAAAACCAGAAATCGAGTTCGAAAGAACCGAAAACAACTTTTTTTTTTTTTTTTTTTTTGTGTGTGTTTGGTTTTGCAGGAGATTCTGCTGTTCAGGCCAATCAAGGCCAGTGCCTCGTTTACGTGCACGCTGGAACCAATCCATTTGAAGTCATCACCCAAGCTGTAAAGTAAGTTCTTAATTTTCATTTTTAATGACTTTCTTGTAATCCTTGTAAAACTGCGATTAAATATCTAGTTTTGTTTGCTAATACGATTACGCTAATGCTAGAAAAAGGTATATTTTGGTCTTGATTAGGGTAATGTCTTAACTTTCTTGTATTCATTGCACATGACTCCATATTTTTCAATTTCATTAACAGGTCTGTGGAAAAAACACATGAAAACTTTAGATGCAAAGGAAAGTAATGCTAGGATCTAAGAATCCATTATTTCTTGGACTAGCAACGAGTACTCCCGAACTGCCAGTCTGCCAGCTGTTCTATTAGTAACGTTTTAGATATAACTTTTTTTCTACTTTAGATGCAAAGGAAAGTAATTCTAGGATCTAAGAATCCATTATTTTTGTTCTTGAAATGGTGGTGATAGTTATAACATGACTTCAATTACCCATATCTGTGTTGGTGGAGTGAATGATCTAACTGTGTTAACAACAACCAATAACTTTTTTGTCGAATTTATTGGGATGCTATGCTATGTGCTCTGCTTGACGTTTTTTATGATGGTTTACCAATATTAGAATCAGCAATTAGTGTTACTCATTAGTCGAATTTATGTTTCTTGCTGGCACATATTTGTGTATGTATGGCATGCTCTAGCTGGGTACTGGGGTGGAGTAAAACCAGCTGCTACTGGCATGGAACACTATGACACTGCTTTAGCATACCCAGTGACGTCCCC